ATGACAGAATTCTCTTTTTTTGGGTGAACTGTTCCCTAAAAAACCACAACCTTCTGCTATCTCTTTATAATGAATAAAAATCAAATTGTATTAATAATCTATTGATCCGCATCTTGAGCTAAAATGGAGCAAATTTCCTGCATTTCAAGTGTTTTTGGCAAAAGAATACAAGACCAAGAGAACTTCTAAATGGGCATAATATTAAGCATGCAAAAGGTCAAGCTAACATTCATGCCTGACAAAAATAAGCCTTCCTGTCCTTTTGCTAAAGACCTGAGAAGTAGAACAATCCCTCCGATGTTCGATGCAACTCTTTGAACGAGCAGGATGAGACAAATCAAAAAATGGCTGCCATCCGCTTGAGGAAGCATTGCTAAGAGAGACAGAGAGCCTAGATGGACACCCTGACAGAACTTGCTTGTCATTTCCCTTCATTACTCTCAGAGTAACTGGGATATTCCCCCATCATATAACCGTGCCTCCCTGTCTTTAAAAAGCCCAGCAGACAGCGCAGACATGGGGACTTGTTAAGGCGTAGTGTGAGTCCATCACATTAAGAGAGAGATAGAGGGGAGAGGGAAGAGAGGCAGGGGAAAGGTTAGTGTGCGACACTAGAACAGAAGGCACTGTGGCTCTGCAGGTTCATCTAGACCCATGGGCATCAAACCAGGGGCTAACCGGGGGCCAGCTGTAGGTAAATGTGGGCCGAACATAAACAAACACCCAGAAAACAGTGGTTTCCTCCCTAAAAGTCTTGAATATGGGTTGGCAAGGAGAAGGGATCAAATGAAATGACACTATTCGTATTTTTAAGAAAACAAGTACTGTGGATTCCATATGACTCTGGGACAGAATGAAGATAAGAAAATGAGAAAATACAGAGCCGCCCAACTGACTTCAAGATTAGATGAAATGTGATGAGCTATTCTGAAATAAGAGAGTGTTTAATGTTGAAAACCTAATGAATCCTTTCGGCTTCATATACTGACTTCTTGAGGAGAAATTTCTGCATCTTTTTAACTTTTTTCTGGTATCCCATAAATAAAAATCATAAATGAGATCTCTTTAACATCTCAATAGTTACTCCTAGAGATAAAATTGAGACTCCTGAGAAAAAGATCTCACACGTGTCTCCTGTAGAATTTCAAAAACACTCTGTGATTTGCTAACACAAAGTCTGCAATCAAAAGTCAAAGATATGCTACCCACATCTCATTTGTGTCTATTTTTTTCTAAGGATTTAGGAGAATAAAACTATCTGGAGGGGAAAGCCTGTTGTAATGGGATTTCATAAACATTTGACTTTTCTGATGTTTTGAGATGGTCCGATGGGTGGGGGTCAGCTGGACAGGTTCAGTGACAGTAGGGGTGCACCTCTACACCCCTGTGAGATATATGTTTGGCTGTATCATTGTATCCTGAGCAGAAGGAGGGGGGGGTCTCAGATTGAGCAGGCAGCCAAAGACATAACAAGCTGCCCGTGGCAGGGAATAGGAAGGCAGGGTGGAAGAATCGTTTCCAGTTACGTGATCAAAGACTACCCAGGTCAAAATTCCCAAAAAACTCGGAAAAAAAGTCAAAGGCGAGCTTCGACAGACCTGCTTATGTCACCTGTCGGGGGACAGTTCTGCAAAATCTAAAGTTCTTCAAGTGCCCTCTGGCGACCATATTTTTTATAAGGGATTGTTTGTCCGTAGTCTAGCCTGGCTTAAGCTGCGCAACAGCACCGCAACATGGACAAAGAGTAAACAACAACATTCATCACCCAAAATACTAACTTGCACTAACTCTACATTAGCTGTGAAATAATTCAAGGGGTTAAAAACTGACCCTCTATAAAACGGTTTCTTCAGATCACACTGTTGTGTGACCATCTTTTTCTGTCAAGAAATAAATATGGAATGGACCCTGAATTTGTCTGAAAAACTCTTGACACAAAAACTGTCCGAGGGTATCCTGAATGCCCCAACTCTCTCTTTTCCCTCTATAAAACGGTTTCTTCAGATCACACTGTTGTGTGACCATCTTTTTCTGTCAAGAAATAAATATGGAATGGACCCTGAATTTGTCTGAAAAACTCTGACACAAAAACTGTCCGAGGGTATCCTGAATGCCCCAACTCTCTCTTTCAAAACATTCATGAGCTCTGACCTGAACTATTCACTACAGATAGGAATATTCTACTCAGCTGAGGTCACAAGTACGTAAACTTTAGGATGCTATCAGGAGCGCATCCTTATAGACTTCAATCTGTGGTGAACAGAACCGAAAATAAAGTTCAAAACAAGATGGCCACAACAGACAAAACTCTAGAAAACAAGACAACAAAGTCACGTGATCACCTCTATCTTCATCAGCATCACCGTCATCTTCATCAATTGCATTAAGATAGTTTTCATCATTATAAGACTATTGTTATTGACAATAGCAAATGAAGCCTTTAGAAAGGAGAATGTCTCTCACCCGGTTTCTCTCTCTGTTCGCAGCCTTGGCCGACAGAGCCGTAATGAGGGAGGTTTCACCATTCAGGCTCGTTTTTAGTGCAATCCAAAGTAATAATAAACAGTGCAGAACATCATCTGGGATCCTCAGAAGGATATAACAGAAAACACCTTCAGATCTGTCTCGCTATTTAGAAAGGTCTGCTGTAGCGTCTATCTATAAATTCCATCTGCACGTAAAGATCTGTAGACATGGCAAGAGCAACAGGGAGAAAACGAGAGAAAGAACTTCCAACTGAATGGAAAAAAGAGAGCTATCACCCCCCTTCCCACAGTAAATCTTCTGTCTGATATATATATTTATATATATTTATATATATATATTTTTTTAAATCAATCATGCAAGTTTCCATCAGATTTTAGTCCAAAAATATCAAAGAAAGCTGAGCAAATGCAACAGAATAACCAAGCTCCAAATGTTCAAAAAGAAGATGTAATCAACTGAAGACATTCTGAAGAGGAAATGGTCTTTCCGTCCCTCCCTCTTCTGCCATTTAGTTTTTTTCCCGCTGTCTTATCCTTGTCAGGACCGAGTGGCAGTTAGTGGGTGGGGTTTCAGTGTGCCACGCCCACTCGCCTCCTCACGCCTGCGCTGAGTCCTTTCATATGCCACGCCTCTCTGACAGTAAACCCCTACCCCAGGTGATGAGGTCACTCAGCATCTTGAGTTGGTAACAGTAAACGCAGATGATAAAACTCATCGATATCGGCCAGCACATGGGGCTGGTTTTGCAGTTGGTAGAGCTCTCATTCCCAAGAGCACTTGCATTTTCTTCAACAATGTCTGTTTTTTCTTCCCTTTTTATTTTTTGGGTCTTTTCAAGAGGCATAGATGTGAGGGGGAAAAATGGGTTCTGGCTTCTTTTTCAAAATTCATTTTTTTTCTTTGTTTTTGATTGACAGAGAATGTTGCTTCTCATTTTTTCCATCGGGCAAGAAGCAATCGGTCTTGCTTAGTTTGGAGTGGAGCATTCAAACACAATGACGCTGATCTTTAAAGTTCAGTCCATCTAAACGCAACCACCCCATTTCTCGCTCATATGCTCCCATTCCCTTGCGTGCTGAGCAGCATGGGAAACGTAGTCCAGAGAACAGGAGAAAGCATTAGAGAGAGAGAGAGTAGGGGAGCTGTATGTGCTGCTCCAAGGCTCAGAGTCTCACAATGGCGCATTTGCCCTGTTTGCGTTTCCCCTTCCACCCCCTCTCTCCCTGCTGCGGTGCATAAACATCTTGGTTTAAGTCCAGTGGCGCCCCCTCCTGGTCACCCTGCGCACTAACACCAATCATCCTCGTCCGTCTCGCTATACTGTTCGTGCAACCCCTTCCGGGGCCCACGGCCATGGGGTGGCCGGTGTGGGCCTGGGTGGGGGCCACGCCGGTGCGGGGAGGGCGAGGAGGAACGGTAGCCGTTAGGCATACGGCGTGGGTGCGAGGGAGGCCCGTGAAGAGCAGTCCTTGGCAATCGGGGATGCGGGTGTGAATGAGGGTGGGGGTTGCCCTGTGATAGACTCTGCTCGTAGGCAGGCGGCTCATGGTGCCGCTCGTACTCATAGTCCCGATCGTAGAAAGGTCCGTCGCCCTCTAGGCTGTCAGATGGCGGACCCCAGCGGCCGTGACGTGGGGACCTGGGCGATGCATGCCTGGGGGAGCGCGGGGAGGCGTGCTGGGGTGAGCCGTGATGGGGCGAGGC